ACCGTGCGATCACTGTGCGGCCCCATGCGTGCTCGCGGGGCGCCTGCCTGGAGAAGTTGCTGAGACACTTGGAGCAAAAGCTGGGTGGATTTCACAGGCTGAGCGTTGGTGTCGAGCGTGTAACAATCAAGTTCGCAGAAACCCCACTCCCAAAGCTTGGGAACTCCAAAGCCCGGAAAGCAGCGGACAGTTTGCACTAACATAGTAGCAGAGAAACACCGAGCCGCCCCTTCTCAAGTCAGAGAAACATCGAGCCTCACCGAGCCTCACCCCGCCCTGAGGTAACGAGCTGAACGGTCTTCAGCAGGTAGACTTCGCCTTGTGCTTTGCCGTGGTCTCCCACCGCGACGAGGACGTCTTTGAGACCGTAGAGGTCCTCCGGCCGGTTGGCTTTGCCCGGTTCGGGCGGCTCAAGTCTTATTGAAGAAGATCCTCGCACATGTTGAACGTTGCTAGAGAGATCGCTGAGCAAAAAGGTCGAAATGGTTCAGGAGTTCTTGTGTCCGGAAGGCGGCTGGTAGGATCGTTGCGCCTACTGAAAGTGCGGGAATTGGTCCAATCCCGCTTCATAGACCACCATCTATCTATGGCTTGGTTTTGGGGGGCAAATGTTGATAGATCCCGCAGGTCCTGGCTGTATAAGAATTTCATGGAATTTCTAAATAGTTCTAAGTGCTGGAAAACAGCGTCAATATGGGAGCTTTCAGATGATGGCTTGTATTGTCGATCCATTGGAACTTTCATGAACTTTCGAAGGCCTTCTTCGAGGAGTCTATGGCCTCTGACTTTGGATATGCCAGTGCTGGAGATGGAGATGCAACTGCAAGTGGCCTTTGAGCTGCATGGAACTGCATGTTTTGGGAAGAGTTTTTGAACACCCATTGGTCAGAGGCACCCTTGCTTTTTTGAGAGCACCTCATTTCGTGCATGAACAAGAGGCTTCTTTGAAGCCCAAGAGGGCCAGAATCACTTGGCTTCAGCCTTGAAAGCCCAGAGGGCTAAGTTCAACTTTTGTTTGCAGAAATGGGTGAACAAACATCCGTGGAATCAAATCAAAAGAATTGCGCATGCATTTGCTGATCCATCCTTGGAGGCAAGCATAGCACACTCATGGAGATCTTGTGTGCTGTCACACATGTGGCTTCAGAAGTCACGAAAGCTAGCACCAGCTAGCTGGAGCTGTTCGCTTTACCAAGTGAGGGGCTGGAATCCTTGAGAGCGCCGCATCGCGTGAAAACTTCATGCGTACGGCCCCCCTCCCCCTCGGGTTCAACTCCTCCCTGGGACGTCTCCCTGCCCTGCTAGCCCTCGGCCTCAAGTTCCATACATTGATGGACCCTCGAAGATGAAGCTATCTCCGCTTTGCAAGTTGAACACGCATGGAACACTCGCTTTGGCCGACCCTCCCAAACGGAAGCCGGCAAAGTCACCCAAAACGCCACGGCTTAGAATGTTTGTGCATCCCAACAGGGTTGGAACTGGTTTGTCGTTTCGAGTGCTTGTTAATGAGATGTCAACCTTTTTCTTGGAATGATTAATTGGCAGCCAATGATTATATAACTGAATATGCATATTTAAAAGGTGTGCATGTTTTCAGGTGGGTCCAATTCAACCAGAGAAGGACCCGCAGGTCTTCAAAGCAAACAGGGGTAGCCTGGGGATGGACACTTGCACAGCTCATGAACAGGTGCCAATTGAGCAATCGCTAGGCTGGACTTACCAAGGCCACCAGTAACTGTGGGCCCACGCTTTCGCAGAATGTGGGAAAGTACATGAAGCCGTCATGAAGCCATGCCTTGAAACCAGCTGAATCCACGTGTTGCAATGATTTCAAGTGCTTTCTTTTTCGGTTTCGGAAAAACTCTCTTTGGTTGAGTCTTTCGGCGGTCCAGGCTTAGCGACGGGCTTGATGAGCCTTTGCTCCTCCCCACGCTCCTCGGCCGATGGCCGGGCCGGCTCCTCCGTGCTGCAGACGCCCACGGGGCCAGCGCCAGAGGTGCAGCCAGGACAATGACTTCGGGTGGAGTTCAGTCGACGGGTTCGAATGTGTTTGAGATCCCCTCAGATGGAGATGTTTGACCATTCGGGTTGGTTTTTATTTGGTAGACTGACAACATTAGTTGCAAGAAGTCGCTTCCATTATTCCTGAGGTTGAAGTGTGGGAGCTAGCAGATATACAGTGAGCAGTACAGTACAGTGAGCTGGAGCTCCGGCCAAAAATTCACCGGCTGCGGGGAGCGGTTGTTTTTTTTGCATGTTTTGGGATGCTCTTTGGATTCGCAGTGATTTAGTTATCTTTAAAACAAGGGTGGAGGCCATCGCTATTATTAGTAACTCCAAAGACGATCGGTTCTTGAACATCCGCCAATACAGCACAAGACCTCTCAGAAATCTGTTTGCTGTGAGGCCCCGGCTTAACTTTTCAGATCAATCACTTCAGCAAGATACTCCCAATGTGACATGGCAAAGTGAACAATTGTATGCAAATGATATCGAATGTAAACATGAAAACAATATATATATTATATATATATATATACTATATATGAAAATCTATGAAATACTGCATCGAGATCAATCCAGCTCACTGCAATCCATGCCAGGAGAGGAACCACCACCCTATGACTGGGTCCCTACCGCACAGCGGGAAAGGGAGGAACAGCAACGCCAGGAGAAAGCTTGAAACAGGGCTTCAGTTTTATGTGCTAATTCTGTTGTGTTTGGAGGGGCGCCTTTCAGAAAAGGGTTCGTATGTGTTGATGTAATTACTTTGATTGTAGTTCTGTGTGGGTAACACAGGTCTTTTGTAAAGCTTTGAGATCCTGATATGAATTCGAAATGCAAGCTATAATAAATTCCGGCAGCGGCGTGCTTCGCAAGCTTTGCTGCATGGTGTGGGTGAATGCATCCATCACACCGTTGGTTGGCTTGGTGCTACCCTCTTAGCACCTGGATTTTGGAGGGTGCCCATACCAGCACTCCAACAGGCCTTTTATTTAATGTTTTTGTGACCGAGAACAGTCACCCGGGGATACCGACGAAGTGTGTGTTCAGATTAGAGCCTTTGCGAAAAGTCTATTTATGAAGGAATGGAGAAGTATACGTGGAAGTGGGCCAGTGTGTTTGAATTGAGCTCAGCTGGGTGCTGAAATTACATTTAATTTAAATCTTCAACTGTGCTCAAGTCGATGAATTCGCTTTTGCAGGAGAGCGACCTGCCCGCCGTCTCTGCACCTGATGGTGATGCCCAACCGCACCGCCAGCTCTCCGGTGATCTGGAAGAGGAGAAAACGCCCAGCGCATCTGCTGACTGGAACGACCTGCGACGCTATGCGTCCTGTCCCTTCGGCCGAAGGGGGCCAAGCGGCGAAGCCGAAGCGACGAATCCAAAGCGGAACTAAGGGCATTGCCCGAACTAGGGGCTCCCGGCATCGCTACAATAGGAACAAGAAGCTACTAGGAACAAAGGGCAGTTTTGATGGACATTTTTAGCGGCGTCCGTTTCGAGGGGCCACAGGTCCAAGGGCATCGTTGGTTTCTTTTGTTGGAGGCGCTGCGAAGCTGGGGGAACGTGGGTTTCTTCTTCGAGGTGGTGTCAGGATGACGTGACCAGTGGTGGTGCTTTAGGGATGGGTAGGGTCCTGGTGTTTTCGATTGTGGTTCCTTCCTTTTGCTGGAGTGGGACTGAGCGTTTGAATCAGACCAGCCCACTGCTGGCCAACTGTTGGAAGAATGGAATAATGGATTGTCATGCATTCTTCCACCCAAACACCAGTCAGTTTGTAGAATGGCTGGGCTGAACGATTCCTGGAGTGCTAAGGCTACACCATGTCACTTGGCATGAAGAAGACCAAGGCGCAGTACGCCCTTCCCCATCCGCACCGTGGCATCAAAGCTGTGTAATCAGGTGATTTCCGGTGCGAGGGGGTCCGATTTCTTCGGACATGTTTCAGTGATTTCTTGGCTTCAGTAGGCTTTTAAATGTTTGCAAACATGGAGGTATAGAATCACATATCCGAGGCAAATTCATCACAATCCACAGTCGCAGCTATAGTTCAATAGAACATATATTGCATGATCATCCCAAAAATGAAACATTCACTTGAGAGTTGTTTTTTCAACCCAGGGATATGCGGGATGTTGATATTGAACCATTGCGTGTCGCAGTGTGGATGCTTTATTTTCCCAGTTGTGCGGGCAAATGACGTCGTGCAAAGCTTTCAAACTCTTGGTGACGGCATGAACTCCGTCAGCCCAGGTATCATGTACAAAACTTGATTCGAGCGATGGCGGCCAGGCTGCCGCAAGTTTAGGCTGCCAGGTCCATCTTGGTGGCTTCTGTGAGGGCGCTGCCTGCGTTAAAATGTGCACTTGGATGCATGACCATCTTCATACAATGACTGATTGAACTTAGCAAAGGGCTCAGTGCCAATCCTGAATCAACTTGGGCGGATGGCGTTCGATTGCTTTCATGACTTCCATGGTGTTCTCGCTTGAAGAAGGTGGTCAGTGTGCCATGGTGGGTCGTCGCTGCCTCCCGTGGGTCGTCCGAAAGCCGGACTCGCTCAATGCCACGTGTGGCGCACAGAAAAAGGAAGACGGTTCACCGATGGTCACGGCTTGTCACGGACGTGGCGGATGACTCCATGACCCCCAAGGGCGAAGTGGTTGTAGAGAGGTCCTCCCGAGGTGAATGTAGTTCAGCGCTATGAAATCCGGAACTACTGAAGTTTGTGTGGTGCAAAAGGCTACCAGACACTTCTCACGTGTAACAGGCTTCGCTTAAATGTTCAGAAGGAGCTGAAGAACGAAGGCCAAAATAGCTCTTTGTTTGGACGGGGGGCTCACCAAGCAAGACATAAAGCCAGGCAGCGGGGGCCCTTTCAAAAGAGTGTCATTCCACGCGAAGAGTGCATAAGACTGCAAATACATCACCTGTCTCCTTTGGGTGTTGAATGACTCCACCCTCTCTGCAAATGATTTTCTCAGCATCACGTCGCCAGGGCGAAGGTGAAGTCGGATGCCTGGCTCCAAAAGAAGGAGCAAGAGGCTGAAGAAGCAGAAGCTGGGCGCAAGCAACGTCGGTCTTCCGCTTTGACAGGGAGATCTAGACAGCGTGAGTCGGGGGAGTTCGACACACAACCCCCAAGACCACTTGGGGACCGTGCACGCTGAAACCATGTTTGGGGTTTTGAATGCATTGGTATGGAAGAAGAAATGCCAGGCTATAGTAGGTTCATTGGTACGGGCACATTCCTACGCTTCGGCTGTTGTTTCACATATTTACATCTCGCGACTGCAGTTCATGTTGGTTTGGTGTCGACACACAGAAATCCGAGTCTAGGGTGGACTTGGAGTTCCGAGCTCAACTAGGCTTCAGGGCTTAATGTAGGACCTCACACAATGGGTGCAGGCTTCTTGTTGGTTACAGTATGTTTGGCCATGCAACTTGCTTTTCCGCGTAGATGGACCATTTTTGGGCGGAAATCCATGGACATCCCATCCACCAACACTCCACAGCATGATATCAATGATTGAAATCAACCTCTCAACAGGGTCCACGATTTCCACTCAACATCTCCTGATATGTTTGAGCATTTTCAACATCGGCCCTGTGATTTCACCTGCCGGCGCCAGCGGCCAATGCTTTCTGAGACGGAAAATGGTGCTAGGAACCTTTAGGCTAGAGAAACATAATTACTTCTTTTGGCATTTGTGCAGATCCAGATCTCATAGATTGTGGATAGTTCGGTGGCCGGTCAAACTCTGCAGAGAGAGAGAGAGAGGGAGAGAAAAATCAAAGAAAGACGAAGAGAGCCCATATCTACATGATGGAAATGATTCTACGCCCCGTTTGGTGTAATTAGGGCACCCTTCAGGCAATCCTTGATAGACCATCAAGCCAGTACTATATTGTAGCAATGAGTTGCCCTACAAGATGAAATTTGTCGGTGTAACATGGTGTAACTGACAAACTATATAAACCTTCTATAGTCCAAGCAGTAGTGCTTGAACCCAAGGGTGGTTCGTGGACACCCCCAGTCTCTTCAAACATCTTCAAACGGGCCATGTTCAACCCAGAAATCCCTCATGAGTCGTCCTTTTGGTTATCCTTTCTCAAGTGTTGCCTTCAGACTACCGTCGACGGATTTCCGACCGGGCACAGGCTCATGGCCGATGGCCCATGATGTATCATGATGTGTCATGGTGTGGGGCCACCTCGGTGGGGAACTCCAACAAAAACCTGCAAGAACATCCCCAGTCCATCAAAAAGCACTCCATTTTGCCCTCCATCTCAGGAAGCTGCTCGGCTCAAGGCTTTGAAGGCCCAGGACTCCCTCCGGCACGGTGCAGCTGGCAGTTGGCGGCACGGGTCGAGTTCTGGTGCTTGAAGCATTCAAAGCATCCGAGTTCGCCTGCACACATAAACTCCAGGGTCGTACATGGTGGTACAGGGACCTTACAAAAGTTGCAGTGCACAGTTGCGCGTAACATATGTGCAAGACGTGTTTGAGATCGTGCTCAAATTGCTTGGGGAACCGAATCTCCACTTTAACCATCCCGCAATCTGGACCTGGATGAGCTGGCATAACCCATGTATTCGTAAGCCATTCCGGGCGCCGGTTAGGAGTGGGACGACATCCCCGACACCAAGCCTGGAGGTGAAGCGGAAGGCTTCAGCCCAGAGCCAGCAGCCCAGTGATGTGACGACAGCGGCGAGAACTCACCAGGCAGTGGCCGCAAAGTGGACGGCAATGGACGGCAGTGGACGTAGATTTGAACGGATTTTCAAGATGGACAAGTGATGGACAAATGATGGAACACCTGTTGTCAAGACGCCAGATGGCACATACCAGGACCCTCGTTAGGCAATCATTTCTGCCATTCTTCATTCAGGCGGAGAAAACATCCATGCCAAGGCACTAGTCCCTGGTCCAAAGGATTTGGTGACATGTCACCACGATGATTAATCCAGCCAAGCCACTGATTGTACTGGGGAGGGTGCAGGTAAGAATGCCTAAGTCCAAGTATTACACGGGAAAGGAATTATGCAAAAGATGAGGCATGAAGAAAGTAAGAAAGAGAGACCACGTATCAAGTCAATTTCTAGCAAGCGCTGGTTGCTCATCATCACTATTGGACTGGGTGGATCCTTACACAAAGACAGGAACGCCTAAGCACGGGCAAAGGCACCTTTACCATATTGTAGGCAGACTGTTCTGCACATAGTTCGCGGTATATGTGATGCACTTATAAGGCTCCATCCTGTGTGAAATTCTCGAGATCTCAAGAGTATGACTCCAGGTTCACTCACAGATGCTTTCCAAGTGTGACGCAAGATGCGGTGGCCAATTATATGGGCCGAGATTTGTGTTTTTCATGTTTTACCCAACGACTGGTGACTAGTGGATCTATTGGGCTTGCATACAGGGTGTCTTGACACTGGTTTGCATGACCAAGGCTCGAGCCACTCGATGATTTCGAGGAGGAGGACCAGAAGATTAATGCACTCAAGATCACTCAAGAAGATATGTGATGTGGCGTGCGGGTCAGGAGGCAACCCAATGCAGCTATTAACATGACTGACTGACACATAACCATGGAATTGCAGGGCTTGGAAAGTAAGCTATATGCAGCCGGCTCACGCTGTTTGGAGGCACACTCCATGCTGAAGGATGGTTGATCTTTCAGGTGTTCCTAGTAGTAATGCCAGGAGCTACTAGAATCGTCCTTGCTCCTAGTAGCGATGTCCTTTGTTACTATAGTAGTTTCTTGTAACTAGTAGAAATGCCCTTTGTTACTAGTAGCTTCTTGTTCAATGTGTTCCAGAGTGTGCCACCCATACTCCTAGTGGTCCTAGCCGCGCATGAAGGGAACGTTCCGCTGCATCGATCGCCAGGAGACTGGCATTTATAGTCCAGTTCTCGAACCTCTTAGTAAGGATCCCAGGAGCGGCGAGAACTGCGACCCGGTGTTTCTGGGGTCCCGGACGGCACGGCGGTTTTCTGGTGTTGCTGTCCTAGGCAAGTACGACCCAGATGAGCTGCTGGATCCAGATGAGGAGATCGGGATGCGCCACAGGGGTCCTGAGAGAAATCTAAAAAGGAAAGTTATCAGTGATGAGAAGTCTCCTACAAGAGGGAAGGGGGCCAGGTGTAAGCCGTTTGAAGCTACATTCTGCAGGCACTAAAGGCGGCCATCTTCGGAAAACCTTGCGAGCTTTGGCTTTTAATGCTCACCCTGTCACAGGATTCCTTAGGATTCCTTTGCTTTTTGCTGCCAATTTGCCTACTTGAGGTTGGGGTCAACACAACACCCCCAAAACAAGTTGTTTCAGTAGAGTAGACTGTACCATATTCTGTTCGATGTGTTTGGGTGTGGCCTAATTACGCTGCCACAACCATGGTCTTTGACACAGCAATGCCAGGACTTGCGAGTGTTGCAGCAGGTGAGGACGGGCGTCTTTGGGCCTAGTGGCCTAATGGCGAAGATTCTAAGAGACATGGAAAGCCCTAAGATGCTTTGTTGCTGGCAAGGCCCATATCAAACACCAATGACGTTTGATTTCGGAATTGGCGGAATGTGATATTAATTTCAGCCACTCTTCATTGACCCTCAAACCACCCCAATGTAGGTAAATATGCCATACATGGAGCGTCTGGGTATGGCATGGGATTTGATGGTATGTCCTATCTTACGAGGGCTTTTACCAGGTGCTCTTTTAGGTTTGCCTCAAATGGATGTTCACTATTTTCCCTTCCATAACAGTGCTTTTTTGATTCAGCTTTTGTAAAACACCACCGGGATGGATTCGTAGCCTAGTCGACAGTTCCAAAGACGGCGGGCCGAGCATCGTGAATCCCGTTGTGGGATCTGGGCAACATCATCTCCGCACCCCAAACGACCTACTCACTGTGCCAGGTCCGAAACACCATCATTGAAGCCTTCGGCTCGGGCCCTAGGGGTTGCTGGTTATATAGGTGGGTATGTCTTCCGGAAGCTAAGCTAGGAGTCCCAGCAACCGATGCTCTTGGCTGCCCTTACATTGGTCCTCATTGATCTACAACCTTCTAGACTCTAGACAAGCCAGAGATCAAGGTACAGTACAGTAATTATTTTTCAGGACTCACTTCCGCCAATGGATGAATGCCCCTTCAACTTCAGAAACTCTGTCCATTCACCATCCCCTTCCAAATTCTGGTTGGAATCACAGCCGCAAAAAAGTAGACTCACATTTCCTCCACAAGCAAGGCTTTTTGCATGGTTTTCCGCCTCCATGTTGGAGCCGAGGATTCTCTATACTATATGTACACCGAAACCAGAAAACATTTTGCTTGGACCAAACCCAGGGCAGGAAACATTTGCTTAGCAGGAGCTACTAGTAGCGTCCTTGCTCCTAGTAGCGATGCCCTTTGTTCCTAGTAGTTTCTTGCTACTAGTGAAAATGCCCGTTGTTACCTTTGTTACCTAGTAGCTTGTTGTTGCTTGTTGTTACTATTGAGAATGCTCCTAGTAGTACGGCCAGCCACGGATCCGGACCGGACCTTGGGGTTTGCCGCAGGTGGCAGCGCCACCACGGCCTCGCAGCCCTTGGTCGACCGTTCCCGCCGCGAACGCCCAGCAGGGAATGGTGGCGGTATGAACGGCGGTGGGAAACACTCAGGTTTTAGTATGAACTTTGGAACTTTGGCAGGTGTAGGGTACCAGGTTTTACCTACAGCGCTCCAGGGAGAAAGTGGGCGAGTCAGTGATGAGTGCATGCCAAAAGATGGCACGATTCCATGGATTCTTCAGAGGCCAGAGGTTGCCAGTAAACTAGACTTGCAGTATCTCGAGTATCTGCAATGTTGGAATCACCGGATATGCCGAAGACATTGGCAAGGAATTTGCGAGATCCTGCACCACCTACTTGCAGTCCAGAAAGACCAATCAAGGAAACATAAGTAAAAATATGTTTAACCTCGGAAGCTTCTCCACATCCATACGATGGATGGTTCGCAAATGTTTACTCCTGCCACTCTTCTTTCCCGACATCGTGAGGTGATGACGAGCTCTTCAACGCGGAGATGGCCAAGGGCATGGCCTCTGGTGAGGACGGCCCCCCCCAGTGCTGGGGGATGCGGGAAACAAGAACAGCTCTGGCAGTCGAAAAGACAGAATTCCTTGGTTGATGATGGTTGATGCATGGTCCTTGGTTTGTGCAATTTGCTTGGAACTGAGCGCCAGGGCCCCAGTTCATTCCGTTTCCAGGGTTCACCGTAATGGCTCACTGGTCCCTTTGTAGAAATACTGGCAATGGTTCTTGGGGACGGGACATCTCCAAATCACAAGTTGATTTTGGATTCATTTTGTGTGCCACAGATATCTCAAAATGCGCTTCACTTGGCCTATACACCTTTGTCATGTCAGCCCACTTCCGCTGTCCTCCCGCTCAGACATCGTTCAATGCTATGGGAAAGGGTGACGCGAGCGAATTCCACGGGGAGGCGAGGCGAATTCCACACGGAGCATGAAGGAATGGTACGTGGTAAGGAGAATCGTTACAACCAGTAATTACTGCTAGCTGGTTACGGCAAGATATGGTTGACTTACTGGTAGCAGCCAGAAGTGATGACAATCACGGACATGAAGTTGTGGCATCTAGTGACACTCGATTTCCCTTTTGATTCCTTTGGTATTCTTTGTGGTCCGGGCGTAACGTCTACAGTGTGTGTGTTGCAACTGCATTTCGCCCCTTACCCGGCAAACATGAGGTCCGTATTGCCATCCACTGTAGGCTAGCGAGAATTTCACAACACAGCACCCAAGTTATGTATTCAACCTGCTGGCGTGCGAAGGTGCTCTTGGACAAGAAGCGCTACGAGTGGGAAGACAAGTACAAGCCCAGAAAGCCGCGATTCTTCAATCGAGTGACTGAGCTGGAAGGGGATGCGGCTCCTTGTTTCTTAGCCTTCGCCAGGTTCCACACGAAAAGTGCTGCGTCGCGCAGAGCAGACTCTCAAGGAATCATAAGGAACCTGCTCTTCTCTTCTCGATTCTTGTGCTGTGGGCGGACAGGGTCAACTGCCCTCGCGGCCATTGTTCAACCTCAGGAACCAGCCCAATCGTTCCGAACTTAATCTCCCCTCTGCCGACAAACAGTACCGACTCAGCCCTTTGAAGCTCAGGTGAAGACGGGCTTTGAATGGAACAAGTACAACCAGACCCACTACGATCACGACAACCCTCCTCCCAAGATTGTGCAAGGTGGGCGGGTCTGGGTGGTCCTTTGCTTCAGCTGAGTCCTTTTGCTGTGAAGACATGTGAAGGCAAGCGCCCCTATACACTATCTCAACTTCATCTCGACCTGTCAGACAGAACTCCCAAAAGCATCGATCACCGGACATCCACGAGCCACACATCCGCATCCGAAGCTCCGTCCGGAGCGAGTCCAGGCTACAAGTTCAACATCTTCTACCCAGACTTGATCGACAAGACCAAGGCGCCCACCTACCACGTGGAGAAGTCTGACACTGCGGACACGGCGCCACGGACATGGACAGGAGGGAATGGGCGTAGATGGGATGGCATTTGGGGCAAGGGAGGGCGAAAAGGGCGCAGCCTGCAGTACATAGAAATGACTAATTATAGTAGCCTATAGCATATATATATATAGTTATATATATATATAGTAGACGATTTGTCTTGAACAGGCCTTTGCTGTTTATCATCATGTCAAAACATAGCAAACTCCCTTGAGCTGCATTAATCGGGAGCTTGGAAGTGACCTGTGTATATGAATGAGGTTTCGAACTCCAAAACTGTTAATTTGAAGGTTTTGGGTGCGGCATTGTGCGGCAAACGGTTTAATACTAATAAATATACTGGTCAGGACTGGCAAGCGCCGCCTGCTGAGAAAACCAAGAGGTTTGCATGGATCGAAGGAGGAAATGACTGCCCCCAAACTTCACGCCAGACCCTTGGGTCTGGATTCTGTTTCTTTGGAGCCACACCAACATGCGGGTCGACGTCAAAAAGAATTCCCACTGACCCCTGAAAATGCCCGGCTTTGACAAAGAGAAAGGTCGGGCACCCCGCAACCGATGCTGGACACCGATGCTGGATGATGACTCGGGTCGCGTGCTTCATGAGTCCAACTAAAAGTCCCGGAGACTAGAAACATCATGAAACATTCAGGGTGATCTCAAGCCGAGAGTCGGAGCCCAAGTGAACATGAACAAAAACAGATCCGGACATGGGTGCGAATGGCTTCACCAAGGTCATGCTCCGCTTCAGTGCGGGGCCTCCATACGAGGACGTGGCCTTTAAGATCGTGAACCGTGAGTGGAATTTGTCCCATAAGTGCCTCGACATGGGCGTTCGTTGCCCTTGTTTTGGATGAATGGATTTCTGACACGCCGAGCATACTCTCCTGTGTTCGTTCTCTAACCTGTCATCCTATAGGTCAGTTCATTGGGCAGGTTTTATGTGTGTGTTGGAACCTTGCTGTGCTTCCTGCCCAGCTGCTCTGGTCCCTTCCACCCCAGCCACCACCAAACCAAAGCTTCGCACGCATCCGGGTGGCATTCCATGCTCCACCCAGGTTCGGCTTCCGGGTGGTCTTCGACCGCGGTGTCCTGCAGCTCTACTTCAACGTCAAGCGTTGGCGATACCGACGGTGACTGATGTTGGCTTGGTCCACGCGAGTGGTGACGAGCCACCAGCGATGGACGCAATGTCTCCGATCACCAGGGTGGGCCATGGGGTGGCCATGGGCTGACTCCTGGATAGGTAGAGACGGACACGCACACACAACGTATTCAGAAGCCTGATGAAGCATGTCAAAATCCATTGGAAAGCCAATCCAACGGTCCGACCCTGGTTGGCACAGCAGCGCCGCTCACACTCTTGCAGAATTGCGTGGTGAAGGGTGCAGGGTCGTGCGGTTTCCGCCGCCAGCATGCGTGGAAAGAGGACGCGGACAATTCCGGTGTTGAAGACTTTTCCCTTGCGCAGACCCATGCAGGTCTTTAGAACTGTCTAGATAGTGAACTGTTGTGATTTTAAAGCTGCACATAGCCGTGCATGCACCAAGCTCGCGACTGCATCCCTCAAACATTTCGACGCGTTCACTCTGAACGTGTACTGTATGACTGTATGCGTAAGCATAATCGGCAAACTGTTGGTTGATGCATGTTGATGCCTTTGCTCAAGCCTTTTGCATGGACTTTGGCAGGCAACTGCTTCTTCATCCACTTCCACATGAAGATTCTTTGCGTTCCGAACCACACATAATAAGTTTGACCATGACCAGAGCATGTAACAGTGTTTTATGTCATGGTCTGAAAGTCTTGAACTTCTACCCTGACCAACATGACTTCGTACTACCCAAGACATCACAACGTCTCCAACCCCAGACCATCCATCGGATTGGAATAGTATGTTTACCCGGATTTACCCCATGTATGACCTGAATGATCGGGAACTATTCCATGCATGGATTGTCTGGGAACTTCCTGGCGTACAGACCACCAAATCGTTTCGATCATTTCATTGGCCTTTCGCGCGGGGTTGCGGATCCGGTCATTATCAAGAACAATGTCGATATTTTTCATGGTTTGGGATGCCTTTGGCTTAAGTTTAGGTTGAGTAGATGTTTGATGCTACCGTGTTGATGAATGTGTTTGGATTAATTATTGGGCTTGCGCAGCAAAGGCACAGCGATACGTGTATACACGATACAAGTACTTTGTTTTTTTGAACAAAGTGCATTCCGATTTTTGCGCCACGAAGATACATACATTTTCAATCACACCGCGTCGACATCCATGGTTGTTGGAGTGAGCTCTGAACGAAGAGTACCTTCATTGGTAGTGGTGCTACATGTAGCTCACAGGCCACAGATTTGTTTGGGTCGCCTTTGACCTTTACATTGCATTCATCCTTTCTATGCCACGACAGGGTCAACGTCGCTGCAGATGTTCACGCGCACAGCGGCAGGAGCATAACTCCTTACTTTGTGATTGGTTACTTGTTCAAAATGTCCTGATTTGCATGCTATACAGATGAAACCCGATTCTCTTGAGACCCCTCATGACTCATACAACTTAATTACTTTATATGGCTTATCATATTTTCTGCTCATGTATAATCATGTATAACTTATACCTAGGTCCTCCTGATGTGCGAAAAGATAGTCCGCTTTTGGAA